TATATATATATATATGATTTATATGCGAAATTGCTGGGCCTCAGCAGACTCGTGAAGCAAGAGCAAATGATAGGCTCCTATGCAAATATTTTGGGGTACCTTAGAGCTAAGCCTTTAGAGGTGAATTATAAATTTGCATTTTCGATAATCTATATCTCTGTAATTCGCTCGGTTATTCTATTTATTTACCTCTTAAAGTGGAGATTTATGAGAGATATTAGGAAGATTAATTGTTTGCGCCGCTTTCGTTTGGAATTTGTTAAAGGCCTTATTTGAAGCTTGGGACGAAATTTGCATATTACTCACACAAAATTGGTAGATTCAACAAGGTCTTGTATTAGGCTCTACTTTATCTCTACCTGAGGATATTGATGCTTTATATATTCGTAGATTCCAAAAACAATAAGTATGTCGACATTTTTGTCAGAAGACTTGTGCACTAAAAGAATAACTTCCTTTCATGTAAGGTCGTTCTTTGTTCTCCTTGGCATACTACTTCCCAGTAACCTGGTTTATACTTCCATGACTTGCGAGGTTGTCCGGGCGTCTGGTGTGACCAATTTGTCTCGTGAATTTTGGACATGACAACAGCCAAAAAGACTCAGGCGCAAGGCAAGTTTATTGTAGGCGCAAGTCACCTGACGCTTCAATTGCTGCCTAAAAGCAGAGATCTCAAGACGAAAGCGGTGATGAGTGAAGGCATAAAGGATGGGATTGTAGACGGCACTGGTCTTAGCAAAGAGCACAGTAAACTCGGCTACAAATGGAGAGAGAAAGTGACGCTCTTTATGCAATAAAGCGTAGAGCGCTACGAGGCCATATGGTGTCCATGAGGCTATGTAGAACATGATCGGGAAGAGTGCAATTTTGGCTGTATTTATCTCCGAAAAACGATCTAATGATGAGAAAAACATTTATAAGGAGAAAAAAATCTTGCATGTAGGCTTTATGAGAAGGAGTTTAATTATTAAATAAAGATAACTTGGAGAAGTAACTAAAATATCTATAAAAATACTTCTTGATTCCACAGAAGAATATCCATCTGGAATTAATCTTAATTTCTCAGTATATGCATAGTAATATTTAATGCTAATCCAAAAATGAATAAAAAGAATTTAACAATGTAAAATGATAAAAATTAACTAATTCTTTGGAAGATATAAGAACTAAGAAGATGGGTTATCTGGTATGGTCACAAGCTCCTTTCGCTGAATAAAATTGGTATATGCCCGTTTTTACGACCAGCTCATGCTAGCAGGCAGGCTTCGGACGACATACCAACAAAATTTGAATAGGATACATTCCCAGAGGTTAGATCGCATCAAAGTCGATATCGCCAATGAACATAGCCAGAAAGAGCATAAAAACTCTGTCAAAAAAGAGAGTACGGGGCAAGACTTTTGGTGCATCCCCGCAGCCACATCATACATACGATGTTAAATTAAATAGTAAAGTATAGAGAAAAACTGGCTTTCGAAGACTCCTCTAATAGGATTAGCTTACATTTTGTTTAAAGAAGCAAGTGGAAGGAAATCGTGAATTCGTCTCAACGGAAGTCAAGGGACTTTTGCTTTGCAGCTGTGACCGTAGATTTATGTGAATAATCTATCGGCCCACCATTCTGTAACCTAGTCCAAGCGCAAGTACAAGAAAGGTGGCCGGTTGTAATCGTACCACCTTTTTATAGCCTAACTTTGTATATACGAAGCAAATGCAGGCTTCAAAGGATCTCATGAGATAACATTGTTGTGAAGACTTTCATTTCGTATTGAAGTACATGTTGAAGAGATTCGGAGGTAAATCTCACCAGAAGACGTCGGCTGATTAGCGTTATACTGCAGCCGTTTGGTATCAATACCACGTTTAGGCTGATGTAGTCCACGAGATATCCTCCTATGCTTCGGGCGAAGACGGGATGAGATTTCGTTCGTCATGTGGCGAACATTGTCAGAGCTGGGACTCATTCTTGCAAAAGCCTCAATTTAACACTAATTCAAGAAGGCTAGCCAGCTTTTTTGCATATGATGTATATACTTATTACGGGCAAAATTTAATATATGAATCGACATAAAAGAAGTTTAGTTAATTCACATATACTTGAGTGTGATGTAGGTGCATGTATGCTAACGTCTGTACGCAAAACCGGTCGAAACTCAGAGTAATTCGTAAAAATGCTTAACGCCAGCCTCGGATCATCATAGCTTAGTGACCAAAGGAAAAAGGAAGCCAGGCTTAAAGAAAGCATTACCAAGTGATACGCTTTAATGAAAACCATGATCCAACTAAGACAAATCCTTTCTTATATTATAAATGAGGAAACTT